ATATATATATATATGCTCTTATGTATTTATTCCTTCACTTTTATATGCATAGTCCATACACTTTAATTTTTTAATACTTATTACTTTAATTTCTTAATACTTAATACTTATTTAATACTTATATACGGTTTATTTTTATTACTGTTAAAAACATGAAAATAAACAAATGAGTCTGATTGTCCAGCAGGGGACAGTGGTGCATTGACACTCGTGTACAGAAGCCTGTGAAGTCTTCAATTACTAACTCACTACACTGCTATTCATGTAGTCATTATAAAAGAATGCTTCACAAAACTCAGTGCCCAAAATAAGTGACAAGTATGTGCTGCTTTGTCTGTGTGTTGGCTACTTGTTCTCCAAGTGTTTAGTATATTGTATGTGTGTGTTTGTGTGTTTGTGTGTTTGTGTGTGTGTGTGTGTGTGTGTGTGACTAGTACAAATGAGATTTGTGTATTAATTACAGTATTTCTTAAAGAGGAGAATAACTACATAACGAGTGTCAGCTCTGTTTTCCCTTCAAGTGACTATAGATATTAACAGCCAAGTTGGACAGCAATGAGGAACATTTTCGTCTGCTTTCAGGACTTACACCCACAAAAAGCTGTCTGACAGGAAATCTGAACTAGCGTGTTTGTGTTATAATGCACGCTGAGATGGTATTTTGGTGGTGCTGTGAGTTTATAACAAGGACAGGAAGGACTTTTTTCTCAATAATAATGCACCCGTTTTAAGAACACAAACACCCACACCTGCCCTCATTAAATCTGTAGAGTAGTACAGTTTACAGATTCAGTGACTCAACTCAGTGACCCGAGTCATTTCCTATCTGTATCAATACCATGAACACAATAGATAGATGAGATGACAGATGAATGGAATGATTGGTTTAGATACAGTGCCGTGTATCATATAACCTTAATATACATAATTTTGTGTTTGTAATAACTTGAGATTTCTAATATCTGTAAGTGAAGATCCCTTATACAATGTACTGTGGCCGTATCATAGTAACATAATACAATGTTATACTTTGATATATATATACTGTGTATTATGATACTAAATGATGACCATATTCATAAACCTTCACATGGTAGGCCTATATCAAGATTACCCATTCCAAAAACCCATTTTATTACCACAGTACTTTGTTTTTGTATAGAGAAGAGTTACATTTTCCCTACTGGCTTTTTTTTATCATCCGAAAGTGTGATAATATCGTAGGTGGTGACAGTGCCATCCACCCCCTTCCCCTTCCCCCACAAATCACTGACTCATCTGTATTCCTCCTCAGTCTCCCATGTGGCCCTTTCCTTTCGTCACATGACCGGTGCGTGTCCTCCAATAGCATCAACCTCATTTTCGCCCCTCCGCTGAATTACGGCGATACGTGGACTCCAGTGACCCGACCAATCAGAGGAGAAAAGCTGGCATTCTCCAAATATCATACCCACTCTTCAATATTCCTCTAGTTTTTTATTTTAAGTCACACCCCACCCCTTTATCCCGACAACTTTATAAAGTGCCATATGCCGTCCCTCCTCTGGAATGTGATTATCCTCAATGGAGAGAAAAACAGAGGCTGAGCGGAAACACAGTGTGCGGGGGAAGCAAGCGAGGGGGAATAGAAGGAGGAGGAGGAGCAGTAAAGCAAGTGTAGAGACCGAGAGAGAGAGAGATTGAGATGAAGGATGGAGGATGCAGAGTGTGTGGCGGCACGGCTAGAGAGGGAGGGTTCATGAGAGGGCTGTTCAGTCTGGCGTGATTCTCTGGATAAGGACAACGGAACTGAACTGAAGTGGAAATCTCACACACACACACAGCTGCTGTCTCCAATCCGACGAAGACTCAGGTCAGTGGTGTTTCTTCACATGTAAAGATCGCCGCTGCTGACCACATTTGAGAAGGGCTGTGGCTCTTGAAGCTCTCTAGGTTTATTGCAGAAGGCCGTACAGTTTAGTCTTTTAACTATATAGTGTTGAATAGAAACCTGCTGTTTTGTATATTAAAGCATGTTTATGTGTGGTATTTTGTCTAGGGAGATGCATATTTAACTCTGTAGACACTGAAGCAGCAGTGTGTCTGTACGTGGGTGGATTTGAACGGTGCTTTTGTGTAAAACCTAGAGCAATAACATATTTAAATATAATTTTTTGTGCTGCAGTCACAGTGATGAGCAATCCTGGGGTGAATCAGCCACATTAATGTGAACGCAGACACAGATGCAGAAACAGATGGATGTGGAAACAGGTCTGGGTGCTTCATGGAAGCAGGTGGAGATCTGGTTGTGTGTGTGATTGGTGTGTGATCAGTATCCAGACACCAGCAAACATCACACAGCTATCAGATTAAGCAGAGAAGTATCTCTTTACAGGATCAGGAGAGTGTTAAGACTCATTAACGTGCTAAATAACACATATGTAGTAACCATCACAGACGGCTAAGACTGCTTTAGCACCTCGGTTCAAGCGCTTTATGTCAATCTCTCTGTGTCTCTTTTTAAGGATTAACTTTGTCTGAGGTGTTTATCATCAAATATAGACATTAGATATAAGCTGAGGAAGAAGAGAGACAACTTTTACTATTACACTAGTATTACACTAGTTCTAAGTTTGGAATAATTAATGTTTTTGGAAGAAGTCTCTTATGCTCATCAAGGTTGCATTTATCTGGTAAAGAACACAGTAAAGACAGCAATATTATTACAATTTAAAATGCAAAAGCTGTTTTCTATTTTAATATATTTTAAGATGTAATTTACTCCTGTGTTGGCAAAGCTGATTTTTTGCAGTCATTACTCCAGTCTTCAGTGTCACATAATCCTTCAGAAATCATTGTAATATGCTGATTTAGTTGTTGTCAGTTATTACTGGTGATCAGTTATTATTAATGATTATTTTTTATTATCAATATATATGCTTCTTAATTTTTTGTGGAAACAATGACTTTTTTTTTACTTCAACATAATAATAAGAAATGTTTCTTGAGCACCAAATCAGCGTATTAGAATGATTTCTGAAGGATCATGGCACACTGAAGTGTAGATATTTTAAATGTAATAATTTATTATTTATTATTTCACAATATTACCATTGTTCAGTATTTTTGATCAAATAAATGCAGTGAGCATAAAACTTTCAAAAAGTAAAGAAAAGTAAAGTAAAGGAAAAAAATGAATAATTCCAAACCTTTGGCCAGAAGTTTAATTTTACATAATTATAGAGCTAGAACATTGGATATTTTGAGTTCATATTAAGATTTTTGACTTTTGATTACAAACTTTATTATCTATAAGCAATTCTGAGCTCACTCATTATTGAGATCACTTTTAAACTCCTTGGGGACTTTTTACAGGAAAGTCTCCAGTTGTTCTCTTAAATGCTGTTTTGTGGCATTACCACCTAAGGGTGGTGGCGTCCATCTACACAGTCTTGGTTGTGTCTATAAATGATGACCTCACCGTCACCCACACTGTCTCGTACCGAGAACAGGTGCACAGAAATGTTTTATTATCGGCTTCTCAATGTCGAGCATGTGACTGCTTTCAATTGTGAAGTTAATCATGCACACGCAAGAAGCAAAAAGCAGAACTGTGCTGCAGGAAAATTACATAAAACAAGCTCAAAAACAGAAGAGAGGCTCATACCTCATCAGGGGTTGCAGAATTATGTGAGGCTCAGTCAGCATGCTGAAAATTCAGCGGCATGCAGACAAAGTCTAAGATTATGAGTTTTGCAAGTGTGGCATCCATTAATTTCCTGCTATAATTGTTATTAAGGCCCATAAGGTTTTACACATTCCCATAGTTCTGTTCACATTGGGACAAAATGAGTCTATTGAGATGAAAGCTAAAAAGTGGGTTGATTTGTTGATATTATTACACATTTAGACTTCATTCTCATTGATCTCTCACTCAGCAGCTTTTATCAATGCCTGTAATTATTCTCTAGTCGCCAACAGTCAGCACATTCATGCACACATAATTAAAAAATGAGGAAATTGGATCCTTTTTAACTGCACATAGGGGGATTTTACGGCAGTTGCTTTTATTTATTTATTTTTTTCTTTCTCTGGACGTGTTGGTAGCATGGTGCATCATCTAAGCTGATGTTTATAGTGTCTATGTTGTTGTTGAATGAACATTCACTCATAGTCAGTGTCCTGCTTCTCACATTGGCTGGGAAACCGGTTTTGTGACCAGTGAGGGGAAGGAGTGAGACACAAACACAGGAAGGACAAAAAAAACATTTGTTATGAGTGTCACTTGTAAGACGAGTTGCATATTGTGGGCATTTCCCTATTTAGCGTATTGATGTCTGCTTAAGATGGAGAAACATCTTAGGAACGTGAGAAAAACGCAGACCAGGATACACAGGAGAACCAAGAGCAGAGCAGGTATTTTTCTCTCTCTTTTTTTTTTTGTGCGTTTCCTTATGCATCAAATGACATGACCTTCAGCTCACATATATTCGTGCCAAGATCTCACATTGTACTCATGATATGTAACAGTCTTGTTTTTTTTACCTCTGCAAATATTACAGTCAGATAGAGAGATGCTTTTTGTCTGAATTTTCTTAATAACAACACACAAACAGATCATTTATATATCTGTTGGTATGCGTTTGAAATCTGTGGAGAGTTTGCTGTAAATTCTAGCATGTATGAACAGGTGAATCTCACACAGCAGATTAAAAAAAACGTGTCCAGGCCACACTGTAAAAAATGACCGTGAATTTAACGGTAAAAGACTGTAAAAAGAAATATGACAATATGCAATTATTTTTTACTTAAAGAAAATAAAAATAAAAACATTGATTCATTCATTTAACCACAAGCATATTTCCCCCAAATTCTCATTATTGTAATAAATAAATAATTAAATGATTTTTATAGATCATAGTATTTATTTAAGGCCAACTGAGAAAAAATAATCATTGTACTAGTAATTTTAATGTACTAGTAATACAGAAAAAACAATATTGAGAATAATGATACATGCAAGGATATATAATGCTAAAAAAAAAGCTTAGTTTTCTCTATGCAAAATTTAACTGATGTTTTTCCTTTTGATGTTTGGATGAAATATGGCTTGCACAGATAAGAAGCTGCAGTTTGTGGTCAGTTATTAATACTGCCTTTATTAATAATATTGATTATTTCTACAATAAAGCTGTGGTAAATTGTATTAATCCTCGGTATCATCAAAAAAATAAGTAGTAATGACAGTAGCTGCTGTTGTATTGTGGTAGAAATTGACTACTATATTTATAAGGTCTTAGTTTATTGTGTCAATATTAAATCTATGTGATGTGATGAACCATTGCTTTCATGCATCATAATTCAGTTTAGTGTTCTGTTTGTTCTGTTAGTTGGTTACAAATACATTAAATGCATGCGTACATACTGGAAATTGATTGAGCCTGATTAAGGGAAGTATTTATACTTGCATCGACCAGATCCATAATTCACTGCCTATTGGAAACCACGATATTTACAATTATAATGGCCACTCGACTGTGAACATGATTCATGGCGCAGCTCCTCTAATGCTCTAACAAGGGCTCCACATAAAAGCTAAATTACATGCTACACTGGATCATAAATAATCTCATAAAACATGTCGTTGCTATTTTCCTTTGTGTTCAGATGAAAGATGGCTGTATTTTGTGTTTCTATACGAGGAAACGGATTAACTGAGGTGTCATGGAAACATCTATGCATGGTTATCCAGCTCTATACGTCCCAGTAACCCATTTTGCAGTGTTTGTTGAGAATAGCTCATAAAAAAGGTTTTATATAGGGTCCCACCAGCCCCCTCTTTCATCTTCGTTTAAGTTTGTTTGTTGTGGTTGTTGTGTTAGCTTACAGAATGTGTTTTTTTGTAAAGCTGCTATTTTAAATGGCTATTATGTGAGCATGTGTGCACGTTCGAGTGTGCGGGGGACACCAGCTCCTTCTGTCACAAGGGCTCCAGATGGTACGAGGAAAAAGCCTTGCTTTAATCTCACGTCCGGGATAAAACACAAACACACACACCCTGCCCCGCTCAAAATGTAACTTACTTTAAACTTGTTTCACTGTACGTTGAACTGACTGACTGTTTTGTCACATTCTCACTTTATTCAATGAGTTCTCTATCATTCATCACTGCATTTTCTCTCTCTTTACTTCCCCATTCTCTTTAGTTTTCTCTCAGTGGCGTTACATTATTAGTGTGGTCTTATATTTTCAGCTGTGCGCTTTATAAGCTGCATGTGTGTCAGTGTGTGCCTTCATGCACACATGTGTGTACAATTGGCAACCACATGCCACTTGTTTACCGATTGGCTTTCATCTTTTATGTGCGTTAGAAATAGAGTACATTAACACAGCTCTCACATGCCCTAGATATTACAGCAGAATTAATTACTGGTGAGTCTCTGGAGATTTACTTTTCTTTTGTTTTGCTACAAACGCTGGATTAATGTACTCTCATCCTCTCTATTCACACACAGACCTTCTGCTCCTTCTGCTGTTTTTATCATCCAAAAGACATATATCTACTGCAGTTGTTCTGCAGTCATACTATTATGCATAGTACAGTTTTATGTTTTCACTTTTAAGGGAAAAATTATATTTTGCGTACAGATTATGATTATATATTTAATTATTTTGCATTATTAATTTGCATCATTTGAAGCTTTCAACTTCGTATGCATTAGCCTATAGAATTTCGTATAATTAAATGAGGTGTATTTTTATTTATTTAGTTTGCATTGTGAAATTTTAAGATTAAAATCTGTATAAATTCTAATTTGTCATATAATTAAATTAAGCCTATTCATTATGTGTTTGTTTATTGTGGCATTAATTTACACTTCTAACTTTGAATATATTTTATAATTTTATATAATTTATTTAGGCCTATTTTGTTTATTTATTTTGTATTGTGACATTATTTTAAGCTCCCAACTTTGTATAAATTATATATAAATGATATCATTTGTATAATTTATGTAATTTAAATCATTTAAATTTTAAAAAGTCTATTTATTTATTTATTTATTTAATTTTATTTGTTTTTGCAATCGTACATTATTTTAAAATTCCAACTTTGTATATTTTGCGAAAGGTCCTTTTGTATTCCAACAGGACAGTGCTGTGTGCAATAAGCGAGGTTCATATCAAAATTATTTACTGAGTCTTGTGTTAAAAACCTGGCCTGCTGAAAAGCCAGACTTGAACTCCATTGAACACCTTTGGGATGAAATAGCATTCACGTCTAAATGGGATCAAATCCTCAAGGCATCTTCCAACATCTAATGAAAAGTCTTTCCAGAAGAATGGAGGCTGATAGCAGGACCAGCTCTCTATTAATACCAATGTTTTAGTGTCATTTACCATTTGGCACTAATTTTTGCAGATCTCTTCCTGCTCTTATTTTTAGCCCACCCACATGTTTCTCAGTGTCTTTATCCCCCTCAGTTTCCATCTGTATCTACATAATTTAGGATCATGAAAGCAACTCAAAATACCTTCTGGAAACTACCCAAAAAGTGCAGAGAATAAAACTAACTAAATGTATCTCTTGGTGTCTTTCAGATAAAGCTGGCAACCCCAGCTGCTTTCCCTCCAAACAATCTGAGGAAGAGGAGCCTTGTGTTGGGGTGAAGATCGCTCAGAACAAAGGTGGGCAACAACCTTCTCTTCCTCTGCTTCCTAATCTGTCTATTCCTTTCTCCATTTGATAAGACTTCTAGCTCTGATCCTTGGGAGTCTACCATTTACTGGAGTTGTTGATGCATGTATGGTGTGTCAGATTTAATCTTTTCTAAAAAAAAAAAAAAAAACCTGTAGCTGCGAGCTTGTTGGATTTATGGTTTGCTGTAAGAGATAAGAGATACTTTTATGTTAAAAAAAAAAAAAAACCTGTAGCTGCGAGCTGTTGGATTTATGGTTTGCTGTAAGAGATAAGAGATACTTTTATGTTATGTAATAGTAGTTTTAAGGCTTATTATGGGAATGAATAGGCATGACTGAGCCACACTTACTGTACATGCAATGTGGTCAGTGATCCATCAACCTCAGATTTTAGTCTGATCACCCTCGTTTCTTCACCCAGCATTGTTCTGTTTTCTCTGCATTCTGCATTCTTTTGTTTCTCTTGAATAATTGAAGAAGGTTAACATGAAGACCAATTTGTAGAATTTCGTAGTTATATCAGACCATATTTGATGCTTAATGAACAATTATGTGGGGAACGATCACTGGGCCAATGAATTTAAACGGTGAGCTACCCAGCACAACACCACATGAATGGAAACCATTCAATCTACAAAATATTATTTTTCTTGTGATTTCTAAAGCTAAAAAAATACTTTACATGGAAGAAATTGCTTTTATCGCTTTGGATAAAAGTGTTCAATAAATACCACTTAAATTCAAAAACAAGAATACATATTGTGCTGTAAGTGTCTCCGTGTGTCAACAAAGGCCTCGTCAACTTCACAAAGTTTGCTTTCATTTGTCAGATCGATATTACCTAGAAAGCTGTTGTTCTCCAGACCTTATATGGGAATACAAATGGAAGTCTGTGGTGACAAGACTTTACAGTAGTTAAGTCTGGTCAGACCTGTTTAAGCGAGGCATGGATGCTGTACTGAACTTATTTTAATTGTAGACTTATGATAATGCCAAATGTAAGAGATATCACTGAGCTGACTATATGAGAACTTCACCTTTATGTGATCTTATAACTTAACCTTATAACCAGGTGGTTAATGGTGTGGTTTTGGTTCCGAGTATTTGACCTATAGTGGTTGAGTGGTTTTTAATTGCTTAGATACTTTGTACAGTTTTTTAACCATCACATACTATATCTCATATAGGCTACAACTAAAATGTTTGATTTTTAAAAAAATTAATTAATATATTTATTCAGCAAGGATGCATTTAAAAGTTTTCTGTTTCAAATGAATGCTGTTCTCTGAACTTTCTCCTCAAAAATGCTTTACACTTTACACAAAATATTTTTGTAAAAATAGTACAACTGTTGCCAACTAGTGCTTACTAACTTACTAGTGGATTCAAAAACGTAGTTTTTGAAAAATCGTACTGACCCCAATCGTTCGAACAGTGGCGTGCATATATAGTGCTAAACATTTAGTACTTATATATAGTGCTGGGCGGTATGACCAAAAATTTATATCACGGTATTTTTCAAAATTATACCGGTTTCACGGTACATGACGGTATTTTTTTTTCATGCATGACCGTGTGTTAACCATATTTTCTACTGATTGAGAGAGAGAGTACTCTATATTGACTTAGAATGCCCTATTTTACTATCATGACAGTGAAAAGGGACCCCTTTCAAACAGTGTTCCGTTCCGAACGTTGTTTAAGCGACATACACCGGTATTGCGGTATTTTAAAAATTCATATCATAACAAAAATAAACAACGTTATTCGGTATGAACCGGTATACCGCCCAGCACTACTTATATATGTTTAGCACAATAAGTCACTAATCGTACACTGGAAAAAAATAGTGCAGATACAATTTTAATTCAGAAATTGTACTCCAATAAGCTTTGTTTTATTTACAACTTTATAAGTCATTTTTATATTGTACCAAGACAAACTGATAATGTTTTTCTTTGAGCAGTGGTTGATGAAGCAGAAAATTCCCACCTGACCTGCCTAGGTCATTACATCATTGGTTATACACTGACAGCTCTTGAGTGATTGTTGTAGATACTGTTGCTGTGGCAGGTTGATGTTCAGATGTCATGTTTTCCCCTCCAAAGGGGAAATACTAAAAGTAGCTTCAAATTGACACCGGAAGTGATCTAAGCAGAATTTGAAAATTTGACTTCATTAACTGCATGCAACAGAAAGGGCATCAGTATTTACACAAACGTCAGGTTTGAGTTGAGTTGTGGCTGTCTGGGATGTGTCAAGATGGTTGTGCAACACCAGATGCTCAGGTCTCTTCTCTGTCTGCACTCCATGTCGAAAATGAGATTAAAGTAAATCAGATTTGCAGTGGAACCTGGTAAACAGTTTAATAAACTTGTAAGGTGTGGCTTTGCATGCAGTTTACATGTTCAAGACTTCTTGTGTGTGTCCATTTATCATTTCCCGCCCTTGAATGATTGCCATTCAATCTGTGCCTCTCAAGTAAGAGCTCCATTTAATTTTAGCATTTATCCTGAGTCCATTAGAATTTTGTAACATGAGAGTGTTTGTGTGCCAAGAGGGTTTGAAATGAGACTGATGCTGCTCAAGGCTGTTAAAAGGGCACCAGAGACCTTAGTCAGGGTTCCGCCATATTTCACGTTTTACAGGAATGAAAATGAGGTTGTGAGAGATAGAAGCACAATGCGTTCAATGGATTGTACTGCTTTTTAACAACATGCCAATTGTTCAGCTTTCCAGAAAACTTACAGTAGACAAAAACTCTACAGAACAGTTTTGAAAATGACGTCTGATCTATGACCTTTTCACAGTGCAGGCCATTATAAAGAAAGACTCTCACAGCCTTGTTTTCTTCCACGTAAAATTCAGAATGTCGTCCATTCTGACTAAAATCTTTTAAATTTCTTCCTTATTTATCTTCAAAGCAAAAATGACACAAAAATGATCATTTTGTCATTATTTACTCACCCTCACAAGTATCTTTCTCCACAACATAAAAGGAGAATTTTTAAAGAATGGCTTTTCAATGCAACAAATATATATATAAAATATAAATATATATTTTTTAATTTTTTAATATATATATATAT